GGGCCACAAGAGAGGAATGTAAGGCCCAGGTCCTGCTGTAGCAACGCAGAAAGAGAGAAACACCTCTTTACGGACTGTGCCTCTTGAAGTTATAATGCTATAAAATGCCTCTTCTTGCCTGAAGAGCTACCGGACCTAGGATGGAAAGGTCCAAATGATCACTAGTTGGTAGCAAAGAGTTAGAGTTTTCTGTATCTTTGCTGCCATCTATCAGCCAACTAAATACTTACAGCACAGGTTTGATAGCTATACATACATACATACTTTTGTGGGAATCCTTTTCATTGTCACCTGCATTTGTGGCTATGCGTTCTCCTCATCTGTTTCTTCCTCTCCTTCCCCAAATGGTTGAGTTTTTTTGTTTTTACTAAATATAATAGCCGCTCAAAGCAATAATCACCCCTCCCCCCCAGCCTTGACCTTTCCCCAAGTCTATGTATAGGGTGTATATATATATGTATATATTTATATTTATATTTATATGACATGTTGCAACTATTCTAATAAAATGCGGTCTTTCTGCAACTCTCTGTTTTTTTGTTGTTTGTTAAGTATTGTAGCCAACTATGAGTTGGAATGTGGGACTTTTTCTGTTGAGGGTCCTGCTGCACATTGCTGATGGTGAGTGGAGCTGAAGGAAGCTTTGGGTGGGACCAGAGCAAAACAGGGAGAGCACCATCATTCTCTCTCTTTTTGACATCTCTTTTCATCCTCCTTCTCATGTAGACAAACAGGAAACTCTTATTGCCAAATAGACTGTGGTTCAAATGAAGGCTGCTTGGAATTATTCCATATTATTCAGTTAGGCTGGCAAATTGCCGACCTTCAGTGTTTCCCAACTTCGGCTGTTTCCAGATACATGGACTTGAAATCCCAGAATTTGAAGTCCGTCCACCTGGAACTTGCCAAGGCTGGGAAACAGTGTGTCTAAGTGGATGTCAACAGCATAAAACTACTCTCCCCACCCATACTACTGGGTACTTTGCCCTCTCTTATCATCAGGCATTGCAACTTGAACATGGCTCCCAGAAATGATATCATCCATAATTGCCTGTTGTAATCACCATCTATTTATTTATTATTAGAATGTTTAAATGCAATGAAAGTATAAAGAATCAAAGGAAAGATAAGAAAGATAAAAAAAATATTTAGAATTATGATTTCCGCCTTCTTTCAGTCAAGTAGTTACCATCTTACTCTTCCCCTCCCTCTTTTTTTCTTTTTTTCTCCTTCCTCTTACTTTGTAATTCTCTTCCCCTTCCCTCTAACCCTTTTTAGTTCCAAATCCATAAATCATCAATTCAGTCCTTTCTTCTTTCAACAAAAAGTCTGTATAAGGTTTCCAGTCTTTCAAAAAGGTCTTTATCGTTTTTGCCCTGACCAAACTCGTCAGCTTCACCATTTTCACAAGTTCTGTCAATTTTATAATCTTCCACTGTGGGTATTTCATTATTCTTCCATCTTTGTGCATATGGTAATCTTGCCACTGTTCCCATATATAGTATCAATTTCCCATATTTCTTTTCTAGTTCAATGTCCATAAAACCCAATAGAAACAATTCTGGTTTCATCATAATATTAATCTGCAATATCTTTTGTATCATTGTATGGATTTGCACCCAAAATTTCTTTGCTCTTTCACAGGTCCACCAAGCATGATAGAATGGAGGGGAGGGGAGGATTGCTAAAGCAACCTACAGAGAGAGGAATTACACAGGATTTGCTTCAGAAAATGTTTGAGGAATTCAACAATAAATTAGCTGAATCACTGTATACTAATATGATTAAATTTATTAAATCATATGATACTAAATGGATACTTTTTGAAAAAAGGAAGGATGAAAGACTTGTAAAGATAAAAGAGAAGATGAAAAACAAAGTTAGGAAGATGGAAAGCTCTGTAAAACAACTGGAGAGGTAAAACAAGTTAATGACAAAGTGGAAATTTTAGAGAGTAAGCAGAAGTTATAGACAGTCGGAAAGAGAACTAGATAATCTAGCTCTGTTGCAATTGAGAAAGAACGAATTTTGTTTGAGACTTAGAGCATTTCCAGAGGATTCTGATGAAGATATTAGAGAAAAGATTATTAAAGTTTGGCAAATTTTTTGGATAGGGAAGAGGAGGATACAGAGATAGAAATTGATAAAGTATATAGAATAAATTCCAAATTTGCGAGAATGATAAATGTTCCATGGGATGTTTTGATGCACTTTGTCAGGAAGAAGACAAGGAATCATGTTTTACAGTAACATTTTAATACAACATTGAAGATTGATAATATAGATATTTTTCTTTTGGGGGGGGGGGAATTTTTGTCCATTTATATTCCACATTATGCTTTTATTTATTTAATTTCTATAGCTGCCCATCTCAACCAAGTGACCCTGGGCGGCAAACAATTCTAAAATTTAGACTTGTTTAAGCTTTTAAGCACCGTATGTATGTTGCAGGTTTTGAGAAGTCCATAGCTATAGCTCCTAATGCTGTAGTATCTTCCTCTATCTCCTTGATGCTTCCAACTGCGTCTTTTCAAGCTTATCTTTAAATTTCCCATAAAATTATTTTGCCTTTAATAAAGAATTCAATTTATATCTTTTTTGATTGTACATCAAAATTATTCCTTCTATTGTATCCTAATGGAATGGATGTTCTTTTCTTTTTAGTATATCTATCAAAAAAGAATAATCTTTTCTTTTCCTCAAAATCCTGACTGGAATTTCTTTTAAGACAATAACATTGTTATCATTTATCTTCAGTCTATTTTTGAAATGCTCTTGAATAATTTGGTGTCTTATTTTCCTCCTTACCAAGTGTACATCTCTTGGTACATTATTTTTCTTTGCATATCTAGAATTTATCCTGTATACTTTGTCTACTTCTTGATCCATTTCCTCTTTTTCCCAGTCTAGTAAATTTGAGATCGATTCTAGAACCTTCGGTCTTAAGTTTTCTCTAGATTCTTCTTGGACGCCTCTAAATCTTAAGCAGTATTCTTTCTCTCTTAATTCCTCATGGAGTAACAAGAGCAACAGAGGCAGCAGCAAGAGGCTCAATGACAGAAATACAAATGGAGGAGACACAAGGTATAAAACAAGGGACGTTACAAAAAATACTAGAGGATATGGGGAGAAATATTGCTGAGTCAGTTACTTAAAAGATGGAAGAAAGATTAGCTGAGTTTTAAAAAGAAATAATGGTCTCTATTGAAAAACCAGCAAAGTTAAACAAAATGAGGAGAAAATAGACATCTCAGAAAAATAAGATAGAAATAAACAATGAAGAAACTGAAAGAGCTTTGGATAATATTGCCTGCTGTAATCATCATCGTCATGCTTAAAAACTATAGAGAATCACAGATGTGACCTTGGAGAAGGAATGCAATGGCAGTTAGCAAAACACGGATTGAGCCCAGGAAGAAGGCACTAGAAAGAAATGTAAAGTGACCCTGCTTTGACTCCCTTGGGTAAAGGAGGGAGGGAAGTGGAAACACTGTCACACTTTCAAGATTCTAGGAATAGAGTCTATATCAGTGAAGTACAGTTCCAATATTTCTTGTGGAGCCTGTTTTCCAACCTGGTGTACCTTAAAGGGCTGACAAAAACTAACTGCAGAAAATAGTAAAGAAATATTGATTAAATTGGAACATGCAGAAATACTAAGTAAGGCACATGGGAAACCTATATGGCTCTAACACCAAAGAACAGTGGAATACCAACTAGATGCTCACTTTACCAAGTGAGGGAATGATTGCTTTGCTGAGTGAGAAAGAATACTGCTGAAGATGTCCACCTGGGGGAATCAGATAGGCTCCCAATCTAGGCCAATGGCAATGAGTTTCTCAATAAAGAGGGTGCCTTTCCCATCTCTTCCACCTGAAACAACCCCTTGTGTGTTCCCAGCAGGACCATGTAAAAAGAGATGGGCTGCCCACATCCTTAGCGGCTTAGAGAGAAAAGAGAAAGCATATCATGACTGTTAGAGTAACCCTACTTCATCAATAGCTATTATAAAAATGGAATAAATTTAGCTTCCTGATAGGTGAGCAGCCCTCAGGCCACATGTAGCCCTGCCCTGAGCCTCTTCCTGTACTCTCTGGAGCTCTTCAAACCTGTGCCTAAGTGCACACAACCATTGCCATCATTCATTTTGACTCCAGGGATTACATTATCTCAGAATTAATTCACACAAAATACATTTTGTGGGAACCCATTTAACTGAATATTGAGTTCTTACAAGGCACCCAGCTTGAAAGCTAACCAATGCCCAATCACTAACATTATATGATTTTTACTGATTTATTTGATTGGATTTTGGTGCTGCCTGACCCCAGAAAGAAATTGCATTTTGCAACCTTTCCACAGTTGTCCTTGGACTAATCTACCAACTGCACCAGGTTTTTTTCTCCTAGATGTCATGCTAAACAAAAGTGATAAGACAGGATATCAAAGGAAGACAGAAAAGAAACAAAAATCTTCCCCTCCCTCCCAAACATCTTGGCCATGCCCATTCTTCACATGGTTACCTTGACTGCTATAGCCGTCAGCCATCCAAAACAAACCCCAAAATAGTGTTGGCTTCCTCTTGCATTAGGATGCATCTCTCTGAGTGCTATACAGGGAGTTCTTGTTTAGCGACCACAACTGGGACGG